AAACTCCGGGTATTCAGCCTTGGATGTCCTGGCAGACATGTTCTTGAAAATTAACAAAGTGAGCCTGTCCCTTTCAAGGAAAGCAGCTGATGGCATTTGTTACCAATGATAAAATCCAAACTTTCATGTCAGTATTTTGAAAAACCTGCATCTACCACCATGAGCTCAACAACTTTCCAACTTAAAGACTTTTCTGGTAAGACTGGTGGCGACATCCACAAAAGTGATTTTAAATACTGATTACTGAACCGTGTCAACAGTTGGAAGAGCTACACAACTTGGTGAACCAATACTTTTCAAATGCCCAGAGTGTGATGACACAAAAGCATGGACGAACAGAGTCATTAAAACACAGGACAGACAGATGGATTATGTCAAAACAGAGAAGTAAAAGTTCATTGATAATGGTTTCAGATTCCACATCACAACCAACCTTCAAAAAACTCCACCTACGCCGGGTGTGGTGGCTCACGCCTGTAATGCCAGCACTTTTGGAGGCCAAGGCGGGAGTCAAAGACCAGCCTGGGTAACATAGCAAGATCATGACTCTGCAAAAAACAAAATAGAAAAATTAGGGCGTGGTGGCACATGCCTGTGGTCTCAGCTACTTGGCAGAGGGATCACTTGAGCCCAGGAGTTCAAGGCTACAATGAGCTATGGTCACACTACTACACTCCAGCCTGGGTGACAGAGTAAGATCCTGTCTCTAAAAACAAAACAGGCCTGGCTTGGTGGCTCAGCTTGTAATCCCAGCGCTTTGGGAGGCCAAGATGAGTGGATTGCCTGAGCCCGCGGGTTTGTGACCTGCCTGGGCAACTTGGCGAGAGACCTCATCTCTACAATAAATAAAAAAAAAATTAGCTGGGCGTGGTAGCACACGCCTATAGTTCCAGCTACTTGGAAGGCTGAGGTGGAAGGATCGCCAGAGCCCAGCAGGTCGGCGCTACGGTGGCCAGGAGCAGCCACTGCACTCCAGTCTGGGCGACAGAGTGAGACTCCAATTCAAAAAAATAAAAAATAAAAAAATAATTAAAAAAACCAAATATTACCACCAATCAAGTGTTGGTGTAGAATCAAGGAAGAAAAACCACAATTATTTGCAAAGATTATTAAGATGTTCCTTTCTTTTCCAAATACGTATCTGAGCAAGGCTAAATTTTCCCCATCTACTCCCATACCTCGCAAACAAAACACTACCCCACAGCAGCCTCAGCCAGGAGCCACAGGAGAGGCCAGCGGGCTTCTTCTCTTAAGTCAAAGACTTGCAAAAATGGAAAACTACATCACTCTTCTTGCTAAGAGTTTTCTGTTTTTAAAAATATATTTTTCGGCCGGACTCGGTGGCTTAGCCTGTAATCCCAGCATTTGGGGAGGCCGAGGTGAGTGGATTGTCAGAGCCCGCGGATTCGAGACCCGCCTGGGCAAATTGGCGAGACCTCATCTCTACAATAAATCAAGAAACTTCGTCGGGCGTGGTACCACGCGCCTGTAGTTCCAGCTACTCAGAAGGCTGAGGCGGAAAGATCACTGGAACCCAGCAGGTCGAGGCTGCAGTGGCCGGGAGCGTGTCACCGTACTCCAGTCTGGGCGACGGAGTGAGACTCCAACTCAAAATATATAAATATATATTTTTTTCACACAATTGTCATTTATGTAAACATGTAATGGGTTTGTTGTTATTTTTAAATGAATAAATATTTTTCAAATGTCTCAGATTTAATTCCTAATAATGTATTCTAATAGGTATCAATATAGGTCATTAGAACCCAATAAGCAAACGTCCTTTGGCATTCTTGGTGACGGGTCCTCAGACTGCAGTTTGAGAACATCGTCCCCACCGGTGACATATCTGAAAGTAGGGTTGCTCAGATAATGAGTGCATGCTTCTTCAGCTTAGGAGGTGAGGCCAGGTTGCGTTACCTCCAAGGGGCTGTATCAACTCCAACTCCTCCAGACAGTTCAGCGGCTTCCATTTCCTGATGTTTTTCCCAGCCTTTGGTGTCACCGGGCTTCACACCCTCCCAAGCACAAGGTGCTGTTTCTGGTAGTCTCTGTCTCCTGACTCCTGGGGAGGCGGAGTTTTTTTCTCGCATAGACTGGTGTCAGACCTTAGGCCCCGTTTCTTTTTCATATGAATTTAAATATCATCTCACCCATTTCAAAACAAAAATGCAATATTATTGAGAGTGTGGCTGGAATTATATTACTGAAATGATGCCATTTTATTTTGGAGCTTTCAGGAGTAGGCAAGTTTCTCTGTGTGCCCAGGTATTGTTTAAAATCTTCAGTAAGACTGTATAGTTCTCCTTACGTGGGCCCTTTCCCTTTCTGGCTCAGTTCATTCCTGAATTTTCTACTGCTTTGAGTTACAACTCCGAAATGAATATTCCTTCATTCTAATTTTCAGCGAGTTTAAGCTGATTTAACGAGCTCTCAGTCTTTTGTATATCTGGTTTTCTAGTTACACAAAAATATCTAAAAACAAAGATAATTCTCGTTTCTTCATCTCATGTCAGGTCCTGCTTCTTTTGTTTACTTCTTGTAATGCATTAGCTGTAAATGTCAAAACAACATTAAACAATACGGGGGGGGGGAGGAAGCACAAGGCCTGGTTCCTGATTTTCACTGGAACCAGTTTGCAGTGTTAACATGTTGTTTTGCTGAATCGTATCAAATACTTTAGCACTGATTGACATAGTCAATTTTCTCCTTAATGGACCAATCACTCAAGAAGAACCAGAAAGTTGCCAAGGCCACACTAAATGGCAGGTGCTAGCCCCAGTGGCTTTATAGCTGACCTTAAGTAATCCTGTGTCAGTCACAGAGAAGGACCCAGCCCCAGTGTGAGGCAGGAAGAGAGTGAATCACAGCCTCGAACTCCAAGGCTCAAGTGATCCTCCCATCTCAACCTCCCATCTCAACCTTCCAAGAGCTGGGACTACAGGCACATGACACTATACCCAGTTAAATTATTATTATTATTATTATTATTTAGAGATAGAGTATTGCCTCAATGCCCAGGCTGTTTTCTAACTTCGGTCTTCAAGTGATCCTCCTGCCTCAGTTTCCCCAAGTGTTGGAATTCCTGAAACACTGATACATCACGACAGTGACTCTGGGAACGCAGAGACAAACTTGTGTCATCACTTAGAACCTCAACCTGTTACCTCCCACAGGAGCCTCTGGGCCTCACCTCCCTGCCAGGGCCAGCAGCGCAGGTGGGACTCAACCTCTGGTTCCCTCTCAGTCTGTTCCCTCCTGAACGCTTGGAGCTGGCCCCGCACTGGGGGGCTGGAAACTCCACACTGACTCTGTCAGAATCACCAGCCAGCCAGCTACATGGTCAGCAGCTGGGGCAGGGGCCCATGGGCCGGTCCCTGTGTCCACGGCTGGGCTCCCGACCTCAAAGGCAGCACAGGCACTGACCAGAAGCCCAGCAGGTTGGCTAATCAAATGACTTCTTAGGTGGTATCTTCCTTGGGAGGCGGATGGGCACCTGAGATGGAAATTAGCCAGAGTAAGCTCCCAAAACTCAGTCTGCAACACTAGACACCCTACATCCTCTGTCTGCAGGGGCCACCCTCTAGCTTCTCAGCAAGCACCGTGGCAGCCACACTGGCTTGCAAGAGCCAACCAGGTGTATGTCTTTCCCACTGCGGGATCAGTGGGAGCCTCTCAGTGACTGGAGCCTGGCTGTGGTGGGAGAATTGACACCACGGACACAGGGCAGGGTTCCAGCTCACCGCAGCAGCCCCCGACAGACTGTCATCAGGTACCCTGCCTTCAGTCCTAAAGCAACATGGTTTGAGTCCTCAAAACATGAATCTGGTTGCTGAGGACCCTGCTTGCCCGGCTCTCCCTCTGGGCACCACAGAACACCCGGCCTCTCCCTCCCAAAGGCAGCCCAGGAGTCCCCTGCATGACTGGCACCATGGGCTGGTCCCACACTGGCAGAACCCCTGCTACTTCCTTGCTGGGAGGACTTCAGGGCACCCTGGAGGGTTGGATGAGCTGGCACTGTCTCACATCAGATCTGCCTGGCAGGACCCCACTCCATTCCTGTCCCCACAGTCTGCTTACCTGCAACCATTAGGAGATCTTCTGAACCATGCATGAGTCAACCCACTTGCCACAGAACCTTCTGGTGGGCGGTGACTTGCCTAGTCCCAGGGGAAGCATGAAACACACCTGGTCCAGCCTCCTTTGCAGCCACGGTGACCAAAAGCCCAAGTCCTGGCCAATGAGACTTGCAGAGAATTCAGCAGAGATTTTGGAAAGAATTTTCCAACTGAGGAAGGGACAGGCAGTGAGGTGAACTTGCAGCTGTGGCCACTGCACCCCAGCCCCCTTCCCACCCCGTGGATGTCAGATCCAGAGTTGCAGTGGCTGGACACTCCCAAGAAGCCTGGAAAACATCAGAACTCCTCCCTGTGGGCTGCCAGCCCTCTGTGGCCTGGCTCCTGGTGACGTGGCCTCCCTGCTGCTCCCGGGGCTGCTCCAGTGTCCTCCTGTCTCTGGGGGTTTGCACTGGCTGTTCCCTACCTGGGCCACCCGTCCCAGCTCCTCTGTGTTCTCAGGCTGACCCTTCCCTTCCAACGATCCACAATGATTTCTCTACTGACTTGTTTGTCTCCCCTCGACGGGAGGGTCAATTCCCCGAGGCCAGGTCATGGTCTCATCCACCCTGATGTCTCCAGAGTTTAGAAAATTAAACAGGGCGGAGTGCATGAGCAGGTGTTGTTACTTTTATTAGTGTTATGACTAAGGATGCACTGGAAATACCCGACGTTCCAAAGATGAATAAAAGGCTCTTTGGGGTCTGTGACAGGGGCTGTTTTAGGGCAGCCGCAGAAGGTCCCAGTGAGGGAGAACACTGGGGTCCCTCCAGGAAGAGCTTGCCATGACACCAACCTGCCAACCCGCTTCTCTGATTTCGTTTTTGGGAAAGATCAACCCGTGTGTTCCCACGAGGCCATCGAAAGCAAACTCTGCTTCCAGGCAAGGATGAAAAAAGTACACATTTAATATAAAAAAAAATCTCAAGTATCATTAATCATGACTACACTGGAGAGCGGCTCTAGAATGTTCTTCCTAGGTGTACCCCGGGAGTGCCCCCGCCAGTGTCCCAGGAAGGGTGTCCATGCGAGAGACTAGGGTCTCACAGTCCGGAGGGCCTGGCTGCCCCTCGAAAAGTCCGTCAGAGAGGGGACGTCTTGATCAGAGCAGCCTGCTGGAGGCTAGGTGAAAGGCTGTCCCCTCTCTCCAGGCCCCGCCAGGGCAGGGCCGCTGCAGCCGGCGGGCCCGCGGGACCTGAGCAGCGCCCCCAGCCGCGGGCCCGGCGCCCCCGCCCCCACGGCCTAGACGTTGGACTTGGCGATGATCTTCTCCAGCAGGCTCATCATGCGCTCTTGCAGCTGCAGGCTCTGCACCTGCAAGAGGTGCTGCTGGTCCAGCACGCGGCGCGCTTCGCGGCAGGTCTCCTCCACGGCGCGGCTCAGCCGGCGCTGCTCCTCCAGCATGGCCTCCAGCAGCCGGAGCTTCTTCTTCTGCAGGTGGCAGCCCTGCACCTTGCGCTTCTTCACTGGCCGCTCCTCCGACCTGAAAGAACAGGGCTGGCTGTGGACGTGCTGGGGCCCCACCCGACCTCCCAGCCAACCCACTGGACACAAGGGGAAGCCGAGGCCCCAGGGAGTCGGGTCCTTCCCTCGGGGTCTCATGGTCCACAGCGGGGAGGAGGGACCAGAGCCCATCTGCCCGTGACAGCAAGAGAGTAACGGGGTCACAGGCACCGCTGTCCTTTAAGGCCGATGACCTAGGGTCACAGGACAATCCACAGCCCTAGGGTCTGGAAATGGCAGGGTGACTGGGCTGCAGGGGGTCCCACCCTGCTGTGAGTCCACCGAGAGGGACAGGCAGGTGGCCCCAAGGAAGAGACGCAAGGCTGGGGGGAGGGAGCTGGGAGCCGGATCATGTGAGTCATTCAAGGTTCCAATAGGGAAGTCAGAGACCACCAGTCCCAGCTGGCTTTGGGCAGATGGAGAAACTGAGATCCCAGGAAGAAGGGCCTGGTACTGGGCTCCTTCATCTCTCAGTAGTCTGGAGATGGGGCCAGCACTCCTTGGGGTAGGGAGGCAGGACAGGCACCCAGGGGGGCCTAGTAGAAAAGGGAGGCGAAAAGCAGTCCTGTGGACATCCCTGAGTACTCTCAGCTGGGTGACAGCCATCCCTAGTCTCAACAGCACCAGCTAACAGATCTCACAGACCCCAAGGCCCTGCCCAGGGCCTGGCCATCTCTCACACCACACTCTGTGTTCAGGGCAGAGCAGGTGAGCAGCCAACCTCAGGTGTGGGAAAGCTGAGCACTGGGCTGGAGCAGGGAGGGCAGTCCTCACATCCCAGCCCCATGCAATGCCCCGGGGCAGCTAGGCAGCTGCCTCGAGGAACTGGGCTCAGTCCTCGGGAACAATTTGCCTTCCATCTCAGGCCTCCTTGCTCCTTTGGTCTGGCTGTCAACAAGAGTGTTTTTGTCTGGGGTGTTTCCTGACAAATCTCTTCCACAGAGAGAGGCACTGGGTGGGTCAAGCAGCAGCCCCTGGTACGGGAGATGTTGAGTTGGAGGGATGCCTTCAGTGATGCCTCCCTCACCCCACCTCCCACCAGACAGACTTGAAGACCAGGGCAGGGAAGAGGCTGTGACTCAAATCCACATTCTTCCTGCTCTCTTCTCCAACTCTCTTCGCCAACTCCTACTTTACCTCGAATGCCCATGCCAGATGTCCCCCCCCAAAAGCACCTTCTCTGGGTTCCCTGGTCCCTATACCCCAGGGAGTCTCTCCTGCATGCTTTCTGGTTCCTGGCTGCTCTGGGAGCATCTTGAAGCATAGTCATGTGGCAAGCATAGGCCTGGTATGAAGTACAGGATGGACAGCAGAGGGGCTGGGATACAGCTGCTGCAAAAGATTTTGAGGCCCCCAAAGACTATGAGGCCCTCTGCAGGTGCGGCCCAACTCCCTCCCTGTGCCAAGGGGCCCAGCTGGTGCTTGCATGGGCAGGGAAGGTGGGGATCCAGGGCAGAGTCTGTGTGGGGGTGGGGGCAGCAGGGAGGGCGCACGTGGGCCCGGGGGTGTGGTCTCCCCTGTGTGCCGGGCCGGTGCCACACCTTCTCTCCTGTGATGCATCCAGACACCCTCTGAGAAAGGTATCCCCATTTTATGAGGGGGAAACTGAGGCCAGAGAGGTCAAGGAACTTTCCGTGTAGCTCAAAAGTGATGGAACTGGGAGATACCCCCAGTCTGTCTGTAGACACTGAAGCCCTCCCTGGTCTGAGGCAGGCCTGTCCCTGGAGACCCCTGCACACCTCCTGGGCCTCTACAGCCACTCCCAGCCCAGCTGGGCTCCTGACCCTGCTCAGGGTGGGGGCAGGGGACAGAAGCGCGACGCACACTACCTGAACTTAAGGGACAGTAAGCTGGAGGAGCTGTCGGAGCGATCGTCCTCAAAGCGGCCTTCGAAGGAGCACTGGTTATACGGGAAGTACAGAGGGGTGGACTTAGCGGGCGGCGACAGGGACGCCTCGGTCTGGGACGTGGAGGGCCCCGGCTGCTGGCCGTCCGGCAGTTTGCCATCACAGGACTCAGGGACCTTGGCCAGAATCCTATCAATGGCTAGGTAATAGGGCCAGTCAGGCGGGACGGACTCGCTATCTGTCATGCATTTTAATTTCCTGAAACGAGAGACACAAGAGCCACGGGTGAGAAACAGAGCTGGGCCAGCCCCCGTCCCGCCGGCCTCAGCAGAGGGATACATGGGGGCTCCGGGACCCCAGGGAGAGCCACGCTGGCACGGGCAGGAGCCACTCTCGGCTGGTTCGGGCCACCCCAGTAAAATCGGCCAGGCTCCGGGGTCAAGGTGACATTGGACTTAGAAATAAGTGAGGCTTCGGGATCTGCACGGCCTTAGGCGTTAAAAAGGAAGCACATGCCCCAAATATCAGTGCTGGGACCTTGGGGCTGATTCCTGCTTCTTCCTTGCTTTTCTGTATTTTCTTAACTTTCAGCAATGAGCAAATATTGCTTTTTAAAATGATTTAACAGCCATAAGGTATCATAATAAGATACGTAATATTATGCAAATATATAATAAAGTATTGGAATGTAATAACGCTTTTCTAGAGAGAATACTTCAGGGAGAGAGAACCACAGGAGTTGGAGCACAGGCTTCAGTGTCCACAGCTCTGAATCTGTATCTCATCTCCACCACTCACTGTGGGACCCTGGGCAGGTTCATTAACCTCTCTGAGCCTCTTTTCATATCAGTAAAATGGGGATGACCAAAGTAAGCCCCTCTCACAGCTGTAGGGAGGATTTAGTAACACAGTGCCTAGTTCCTGGCAAACAGCAAGCTGGGCTCCAACACCATTCTTGGTTGAACCTAACAGGAAGTCATGTCCAGTCCTGGCCCAGTGTTGCTACTGTCACTCCCCTTGGTCCGAGCAGAAGCTTGGATTGAGCACCAGAACCTGAAGCCCACCCAAAGACATCAGGGCCGGCCGAAGGGGCCCCTTCCTGCACAGCCTAAGATCTCATCACCACTAGCCCCCAGGCCAAGGGTCTGCACGGGATACGCCTGCCCACAGCGAGCCTGAATCCCACCCTCTCCCACAGATAGGTCCTGCCTTGTGAGGGGCTGGGCAACTCCCTGGGTCTCCCCTGGGCCTCAGTCATCCTCTGGAGGTGAGGGCTGGGGAGAGAGGACCCCAGGGCGACTGGACAACTCTGGCTAGGCCAGGGAAGAAGCCACAAGACCGGGTGGTTGCGGGGAGTCTCTGCCTCATCAGACCCAGCCCCTCCTGAGGCCTAGGCGCCCAACGGCCAGTGCTCCTCTGAGGTGGGAGGTTTGGAGCTAGAGTGTCCTGAGGCTGCGGCTCCAGGACAGAACCCGTCCTTAGAGCAAACGTCTCCTGTCTCCTACATGGCATTGCCTGCCAGGGTGTGCAAGGGCACTAGCAACCATAAGTTGGCTGTGTGGGTGACTCACCCCGAGCACACAGGCACGGCCAGGTGGTGAGGAGGGGCTGCCGCTCAGGCGGCAAGTGGCAGCTGGCCACTGCAGGAGGTGGCTGGCCTTGGACAGTGCCAGGGCCCAGGAGCCCCTCCACCAGGTGGAATGCCTTTGGCAGAAAGCTGGGTTCAGGTCACACAGGGAAGGACGCAGGCTACTCTCTAAGAGGGCCAGGGCCGCGCAGACACCAGCACAGAGTGGGGGAGCTGGCGCCGGGTGCCCACCCCAGCCTCCACCCCTGGCTCCTCTCTGGCCCCTGCAGAGACCCCACCTTTCTCTTTGCCCCACCTAAACCAGCCTACTCCTTGGAAAAATAGGGAAAGGCCTTATCCCAGAACAGGAAGATCCAAATTGTACTCCAGCAAGCCACACTCCATGGAATCCCACCACCCCCTCAGACTTCCTTAGCCTGACAGCCTTAATATATAAACAATACATGTTAAAAAGAGAAGAAGGAGAAGTTGGGTGCAGTGGCTCATGCCTATAACCCCAGCATTTTGGGAGGCAGATGCGAGAGGATTGCCTGAGCTCAGGGGTTTGCAATCAGCCTGGGCAACTTGGTGAGACCTCATCTCTACAATAAATCAAAAAGTCAGCTGGGTGTGGTGGCGCACACCTGTGATTCCAACTACTTGGAAGACTGAGGCAGAAGAATCACCTGAACCCAGCAGGTTGAGGCTGTGGTGGCCATGAGCATGCCACGGGCACTCCAGCCTGGGAGACTCCAACTCAAAAAAATAAAAAAAAATAAGAAAAGCCTCTGCTATGGGGAGGCTGAGGCAGAGGGCCGATAAAGAACAAGTCATCCAGTCAAAGTTTTGGTTGTTAAAGACGATGTGGTCTTGAGCAAGTCCCTCTCCCACTGTGGGCCTCAGTTTCCCCTCAGTGAACAAGGAATGACAGTGGCAGCTCTGAGGAGCCGTGGTACGCAAGTGCTTTACAAACCATGAGGTGCTGTGCTCCTGTACAGCCCTCACCCACCCCAGACTACGGGGCCTGGGGGGAGGTCCCGCTCTGCTGTGCTCTCGTCTCCTGGGCCTCCGGGAATGGAGATGAAATCCTTCCCCTGGGACTCTGAAGAGGCTTTCAGGATAAATAATGAATAACCCAGTCAGACACCAATCAGAGCCGGCCGGGGAGGCGTGCCTGCAAATTCCTGAGTCAGAGGGAAGCCTGGTGAAACAGCCACTGCTTCCCACTGCCCTGTGAGCCCCTTCCTCATCCCACACCTGAGTGGGGGCCTAGGAGCCATCAGGGCTGTGGGTAGCCGCCTGTCCCCTGTGCCTCTGCAGACAGCCAGACTCACATCTCACCCTTCACATCGCAAGCCAGCGGCTCAAATTTATCATTTATGCTCCGTGGTGCTGAGGCCAGCAGGCCTTCGGCAGCTGCTATGGTTCCGGCTGTGAGGCCTGACCGAGGACCAGAGATGGGGGCCAGAAAGGGCACGTGGACAGGGCCAGGTCCTGGGCTGCTCCTTCAAGGGTCCTAAAAAGTTAAATCAATGCAACTAAAAACAGAGCTCCCATGACCTTGCGGTCTGCCCAGGAGCCTACTGAGTCTCTTTTATCTCCACCAGACACGTGGGTGGCCGGGTGCCACAGGCCGGGTGCTGGAGGGCATCTCCTCATCTACTAGGGGGAGCAGGAGTGCTTTCTCCCACAGCTGTGACTAAGGTGCACCCAGCCTCCTGCCTGGTGCCCACCTGCCTGGCCTGGCCCAGCCCCTGAGCAAGGCCTCTGGCAGGACAGCCCCTCCCGTCCTGGGACAGCCCCAGGCTCAGCCCTGCCAGAGCCACCCACAGTGCCGGGTGTTCTAGGTCGATGTTCTCCAGTTTCCAGCTCTTGCTGTGACCTTCACTCCATGACATTCACCATGCCCACGACCTTCACTCGACATAAGACCCTCACCCCACCTCTGACCCTCCCCGTGTCTGTAACCTTCACCTTGTAGTGATCCCCACCTGTGACCCTGTCCAGTGGAGTGGCCCCATGTACTCTGAGGTGCTGGGCATGTGGCCCACACCAGCCCCCCCAGACACCAGAGCTGCCCCAGACCCTCACCTTTGACCCCAACCCAATCGTCCCCTCCATCGTAACCCTCAGGCTGCCAGCTTAGGGAAACCAACTTGGGGTGCAGCAGAGGCAAAGACTTCCCTGGTCTGGGGGCCCCTGAACCGGGGCTGAGCTCTACTTCTTCCTCCCACTAAGCCCCACCCATGAGCTGGGCCCAACCTGAACCCTTAGGGGACTGCTAGTATAATCCTTGAAGCCCCACTCCCAGATCCCAGGGCTGGTCTGAGCAGAGCTCACAGCGGGGTTTGTATAGGCTCAAGTCACAGAATGCTGAGTCTCTTTGCTCACCTCGGGCCTTAGAGGCCTTCTCTGTCTGCCCAGCCAGACCGCAACACCCCTGCTGAGCTTGGGGGCTCAGTGGTAGGTAGGGAACCGGTGGCTGCAGCCTCTTGGCTGCGGGGGGGGGGGCATGTGGTCAGTGGGTGCCGCCCACATGTGGCGCCACCTCTGAGGCATCCCGGAGGGCCTTGCACAGGCCTTGTGCACTTCCTTGGCGCCATCCTGCCTCAGTCCAGCAGGGAAATCAAGGTCAGCCCCAGCCCTGCCACCCCTTAGCAGTTGGCTAGTGTCCTGGCCTGTCCCTGCTGGGCCTGTTTTCCCACCTCCCCAACAGGAGACTGCACACACAGTTTCTGTGGGTCCTGTCTCACCCAGTGGGGTTCTGCCACACACAAGAGAGGACAGGCAGACCACCTGTCCCAGGACCTGCACGCCCTTCCTAGCTCAGAGTTCCATGAGGGCCAGGAGCGGCTGCCATGCCCGGGCTCCCTCCCTGGCCTGGGCGGGTCCCCGCCCGTGGGTCCTGGCGGGTGTGTGCCCGAGTCGCCCACCTGTACTGGAAGGTCATGTTGGTGATCTTGATCTTGATCTCCTCGCCCAGCCTGCGCTCGCCGGTCATCTCGAAGAGCTTGCTGGCCATCTTCTCGTACACCTTGGCATTGCGCTTGGTCTGCTTGAGCTCATCGAAGAACTCCTCCCAGACCAGCATGAGGCCACGCATCTCGGCATCGGTCCAGTTGCGGGCCCGCCGGTGCTTCTCCGTCTGAGGAGACACTAGGTAGCCGGGCGACTCGGCCGCTGCCATGCTGGAGGCGCCTGCAGGGTTAAAGATCACACTCAGGGAGGCCCAAGCCCAGCCCCAGCACCATGGGCGGGAGGCAGCTTGCTCGAAGGCAGCTCCACACTCAAAATGGGGCCTACATCTGACAGGCAGGAATTTAGTTAAAAGCTTTTAAATGGGAAACGTCATTTTGATGTCACGTTTCCATAGCAACAGAGCAACTGCATAAGCTACAACAACAGAAACCTTTTAACTGAAAGCACAGGAATCAGGGCCGCACTGACGGGCCATCAATATTGCAGTAAGCGGGCCAGGCCCAAACTCCATGGACCGGGTGGGATCCAGGCACAGCCCCCTCCTCGGCCCCGCCCGGCCCATGTGGACCAAGATGGGGCGTTGAGATGGGACAAAATGAGAAGAGGAGCAAGAGGGAGACGGGACAGGGGAAACAGGGAAGGGACTGGCAGACGAGAAGACTGAAGCACCCAGCACCGGCCTGGATGAGGTGGCCGCCGGCCCTGGAGGGAGACCACAGTTGTGAGACTGTCCACCTCCCTCAGAAAGCCCCTGCCGGGTCTCACTGAGGTCAAGTCCTGGGGTCCCCGGGTCTCAGGGCTGGGATCTTGAGGCCCTCCCTTAGTCCTTTGCTTCCCTCCTCTTGCTCCGTCACCCAGACATCCTAGGCTTCAGGTCTATGGACACCAGGAGCTTCGGCTGGTCAGAGCCAGGCCCTGCCCAGCAGTGCAGACACAGGGGACACACACAGACATAGGCCTCCAGCACCAGTTAGGCAGGGTCAGCAACAGACAGCAGAGGCGAGCTCTGCACTGAGAGATAGGGAAGAAGGTCACAGGGAAGCCCTGGAAGAACCAGCCAGGCAAGGGCAGTGTGCAGGGAGCAGACGGGCAGTCAGATGCAACATGATTACGGGGGCACTGGGGCAGAAAGGGGGCTGAGGGCTGGGCTCGGGGAGTGGGCCTCTCCCTCTGTGCGGCAGAGGAACAAAAATGCCCATGGAGGTTGGGTGCGGTGGCTCACACCCATAATCCCAGCACTTTGGGAGGCCGAAGTGAGAGGATTGCCTGAGCCCATGGGCTCAAGACCAGCCTGGGCAACTTGGCAAGACCTCGACTCTACAGTAAATTAAAAAAATTAGCCAGGCATGATGGCGTGTGCCTATAGTTCCAGCTACTTGGAAGGCTGAGGCGGAAGGATCACCTGAGCCAGCAAGTTGAGGCTGCGATGGCTGTGAGCATGCCACGGCACTCCAGCCTGGGCAACAGAGTGAGACTCTGATTTAAAAAAAAAAAAAGTTCCCATGGGGCTGGCTAGGGGACCTCAGTCTGACAGGAGGCCCCAAGCAGCAGTCAGGAGTGGTGGAGCTTGGGGCATCTGCAGGGAAAAGGTGCCACCTGAGGCCACTAACCTCCAACATGTGAAAGATAAAAGCCAAGTGAGACTTCATGGAGCCCACAGCACCCATGCATCATGGACTGTGCTGGAGCCAGGGCCTAGCCTGGCTCTGGCATCCATGCCTACCCCCTGGCCCCCAGCCTGGACATCTGTGGTCAGCAGAGAGGCTGTGGGCACCTGCCTGCCCTCCCCGAACCTGGCCAACCACAGAAGGGTTTCAGGAGAGTTATGCTAGAGTGAGGGGTGTCTCTGAGCCTCTGCTAGGTGCCCTGATGTCCTCTGAGAAAAGTGCTACATGGGACCCCATGGGTGGTGGGCAAAGGCTTGCTGGGCTGAGGGTCTGGGGGAAGGACAGGGAGGGGGTATGGCTGGGGTACCCGGCATGTGGAGGACCAGCCTGGGGCTCCCTTGTCCCTGCAGCCAGAGTAGGAAATGCACTAGGAGGGCAGCAGGGGTACATGTGGGCAGTCCCTGAAAGTCCTGGGTCAAGACCTGGTCCTGCCATCAGCTCCCTGTGGGACGCATAGAACTCCTTCCTCTCAGGGTCTCAGGAGACACCGTCCTGTGGCCTGGCACTGGGGTGCGAGAGACCTGAGTCCTCCCCCACTCACTGCCAAGGTCAGTCTTTGATCATGAAAGCTGGTCTGCTGGTTTGCTGCTGCCCCCTAGTGCCCAGTGCGGGACCTGGGGGCCAGCACAGAGCTCTCAGGAAGGTTTGAGGAATTCGAATAAGGCCCACCTCCTCCGGGAACCCCCATCCTCTGGACCCTGAGGCACAGGGTTTGACCCCTGAGTAAGGGTGGGAACCTGTCCTAATGTCCTCCCCAGCCAGTACTCCAAGGGCAGAGGCAGGGCTGACTCCCAGTGTCTCCCAGCACATGGGGCAGCAAAGGGCTTTGAAAGGAAAGACAGGCAGAGCATGGCTTAGGGTCCCGGCATTGGGTTCTGAATTGCAGATCTAGAGACTCAGCACGGACCGCAGTCATGTCCACCACCCCCAGCCCCAGTTTCTTAATCTCTACAATGGGAATAACAGGACTTGGCTAGATGTGTATAATCACCCAGCATGGTGCTCACTGAGGGCTCTGGGGAGGCCACAGGGCCCCAACCTGCCCTTGACACCATTCCTCAAGTCCACCTTGGAGCTGCTGGAAGGTGCAGAGCCTGGCCTCTGTCTTGGCTGAAGGGTCGGTGGCTGGCCAGTGGGCATCACCAATGGTGCTCGGGGTGGCCCTGAAGGGACATCCACACACACACTCTGCCTACCCAAGCTCGGTGAACACCGGGAGGCAGAGCCCTCCCTGGCAGGGAGCTACCCCACCCTGCACACCCCTCAGGCAGTATTTCTGGGGAGTGAGGCAAAAGGCTCAAGCGCATCAGAGGACCTCACACAGGGCAAGCCCCAGGGCCTCTCTCACGTTGGGCCTCCAAGGACAAGAACCAGGCAGGCAGGCAGAGTGCAGGGCTATGAACCCACCTGGGAGGACCCTGGGTCTGTCCTCAGCTGGGAGGGACTCGTACCTTGGCACAGCTGCATGGCCTGCTGGGACCCTCGGACACCGTGGGATCAGAAGACAGAGGTCCCAGGCTGGGGACCCAGCAGCACCTGCAGGGAGAAGCGGCAGGTCAGGCCTCAGCAGATCCTAAGGGAGACCCAGGGCTTGTGCCTGGGTCCAGCCTGACTGCTGTGCGCAGGCCAGGCCCATATCCTCTAGGCCTCAGTGTCCCCTCCAAATGAGGCTGGACTCAACCTGTCATTCCCCTCAGCATCGACCAAGGGGATGCCAGGCACATACCTGGAGCAGGTAGCCCTGAGAGGAGCCTGATGGTGGGCAGAATTTGGCAGTTGAAGAGCTGGAGCTGGATGGGCAAAGGCAGGTAAGCACATGCAGTCGGTGTGGCGAGGGGTATGGGAGCAGCCCCAGCCAGAAGGCGGCAGGGCCCAGTTTGGGAGCCTGGGCAGGGGCTCAGATTTCCTAAGAGCAACATGGCCAGGAGAGGAGGGAGGTAGTTGGTGCTGGTGCTGGTGCTGGTGCTGGGTGAGGCAGGGTTGGAGGGTCTGAAGCAGTGGACTGCCTGGGGAGTGCTGGGGGGACTACGATTTATCTTTGGATCAACCTGTCCCAGCAGCCACTGGGTCAGCTGCCTCACCCAGCACGGAGTCTATGGGTACAGCTAACAATTTCCCCTGTGAACCATCAGCCCTCTGCCTCAGTGGAAGGCCCAACCCCACAGCTCCATGAACCCATCCAGGGTCCCTAAAGGATGTGACAGCAACAGGGTGTGGCCATCTGGGTGGGGCCAGTCATCCACCTGGCTGGAGAACCCAGTTGCTGAGGCAGTGGGGTCTGTTGGACCCACAGGAGCTGCTCATGTTTTTCGAAGTCTTGGTGATGCCACAAAGCGCCAGGTCTACCTCTTTGCCCACAGGGCCCGGTCACAGCACTCATAGACCATAGACTCAGGGGCCCTAGTAGAAGCCTCTTTCCTCGGGCTCCATGGACAGGCTACCTTGAGGGGTATACCCCATGCCCCTAGGAACATGCTTCCTCTGTTCTGGGTTGGCTGTCACATCTCCTGGAGGTAAGGTCCTCCATCTAGTTCCTTCTGTAGTGGCTCCTAGGACACCTGCAGCCTGACCAGTGTCCACCTGGTCCTCACCTCACGCTGGCTACTTCCCTTAACTGCCTCAGAGTGATTAAAAAATTACCACACCCCATACTCGGGAAGCAACTTCAAAATTCTTTCTGGAACAAAACCAGTTACAGCTAAAAACACTCTGGAAAGCACAGAACACAAATCCCAGCAAGGAGGCAGAAGAGGTATCCCCAATCCTCTCTCGGGACAGGGTGCACTATCTGGTAAGGACAAAGGTCGCTAACAAGTGGGCTGTGGTGCCTGGAGGGCCCGCCCCCAACGTCTGGCCACTACCGCTGTGCCTCAGGAGAGGAGGGAGCTCCAGCTGCCACCGATTCCTGGGGCGGCCCCGCATAGGGTCCCACTGCCTTGGCCAACTGGCCTCGCCCATCCCTCCTCGCACTGACCGTGGAGAGAGCAGGTGGACGACCTCCCTAGTCAGCCAAAACCAGATAGGACTTCAGCAACTTTAATAAGGACTGTGCTGGAGTACCCCGAAGCCTAGGGCTTTTGCCTTTGCAGGTTGGTAGGTAAAATACATGCTTGGCACAATTACTATACTGACCGCCACGGCTCTGGAGGAGGCTCAGCCAGAGCTTAGAATGAAATGCCCCACTGAGTGAGCAGAGACTTCTTGAAGGAGGCGGCATTTCAGACGGGAAGAACTTCCAAGCAAAAACGGTTGGGGTACACACTGTAGACACACAGCCGCCCGGGCCAGCAGGGGTAGGAACACAAGTTGCTGTGGGGGCAGCAAGGCACTGCTGGGTCACCATGAGCTGTGTGCCCCACGTGAGAACATAGTCTCTGTGCCAGCCCTCACGGCCCCTCCAGTGTCCTGGGCCAAATGTGGAAGCAGAAATTAAGGGCACCAGTCCCGAGACCTGTGCAATGAGCTCACAATGTCCCTCAACCTGAAGGCGTGGGCAGCCCACATCTGTGGGGTGGAGGGACCCCTGGTTTGTGAAGGTCCTTGCAGGGAGCACCAAGCCAGGCCTGGGCCTGGGCCCACTTCCTCATCTCTGGCTACAGACGCAGAGCATGTCCCTACTCCCAGCTGCTTGGGGACCCCCAGCTGCTTGGGGGTGTCAGTCATTTGCTGGTGGGACAGCTTCTGCCCCCTTGGAGAAACATTCAGAAGCCTGTTTCTCCAGATATCAGCTCAGCAGGGTTTAGGCTCTAAAATTAAGCAAAGCAAGCCTCGCACAGCAACA